ATGATTAGTTTGTTAAAGAAGATTGGTTGCATGAATTATTTTCAGTCTTGTAGAAGTTCACAGCTTGATGTTGCATTAGTAATGAATAAGAAAAAGGGTGGTACATAACCCTGAAAAGAAAAATGCTGCTTTGTAATAAGAGGCCCTGGTAATTTAACGTTGTCTTGGAACTTTATCATCTTGTCTCCCTAGCTTCAATACGGAATAATTGAAAACAAGCCACATGTTCACACTAATGAATGATAATAATGAAGAACACTTTGTGGAGAGCCGTATTCAGGCTCTATAGTGTTTTTCACGTGTGAAAGTCTACTTTCACATTCGTGACCAAGCTCAGCCAGTTTTTTCTTTTTTTATCTTCCCCCTGCTTTGCGTTTACACTATGCTAGTACCCTCCTTCCTGAAGAGGTAACTCCCAATAAAAGGACTTTAAATTTATGGGCAGAGTCTTGATCTCTGTTGCAGAATTCTTATCAAATAACTTTGAAAGTTCTGGAAGGACAGTTCTGAAGGGTCATCTGGACATGCACATTTTTGCACATATGCATGCATGTTGGAATTTTTTTTTTTTTTTTTTTTTTTGCGGTATGCGGGCCTGTCACTGTTGTGGCCTCTCCCGTTGCGGAGCACAGGCTCGGGACGCGCAGGCTCAGTGGCCATGGCTCACAGGCCCAGCCGCTCCGCGGCATGTGGGATCTTCCCGGACCGGGGCACGAACCCGTGTCCCCTGCATCGGCAGGCGGACCCCCAACCACCGCGCCACCAGGGAAGCCCGCGTGTTGGAATTTAATGCCAGGAAGAACTTTGTTTCTTCTGAGAAGCCAACAGCGCTGTTTACCCAACAGTGAGAGGTATATAAAGTGCTGCATTTTATTTTCTGCCTTGGCTTCCAGGAAGCTCAGTCCTCACATGATATTTACTTTGGGTGATTTTTATTCTTTTTCACTGCAAATTACTTCCATTTTGGAAGCAGGCACAAGATGTAATAATAAATGAACAACAACAAGGCAGATGCAGGACAGCCTTTAAACATAGGTAGAAGTGGTAACTACATTTTGAAGACTTAGCTAGGACAGAAAGTCCTTCTTGAGTACCATGTATCTGCCACTGTTACGTGAAGTTCCCTCCATTAGGGTTCCTCCCGTCAGGTAACATATTTGATCTTTAGAAACCTGCTATGTTACAAAGGAAACACGCTCCCAGGAGAGTCATACCTCAGTATTTGGGATGAAACGTTGATGAATCAATGAGAGCATGAACTAGAAGAGAATTTAGGTATCTTAGCTTTCAGACGTATGTTTTTATTAACATACACCTCTCAGCTAGTGGGAAACATTTCCAGAGTCACAGAGAGAGAAATTTTCCCCATGAGGGTTATGAAGAGATTTTTTCCCCTTCAGGTAGTGTTGCCAGATAAAATGCAGGACATGTGTAATATATGTTTATACCAGAAAATTATTCATTGCCTATCTGAAATTCAAATTTCACCAGGCGTCCTATATTTTTATTTGCTAAATATGGCAACCCTACTCTTAGGGGAACAATATAGAAACCTTTCTACTGGTAATGTTGCTTGTTAATCACCTTGAAAAGTGATTCATATACAGACATGTATTTTACTTGTCAGTATATCACAGGGTCAATCCTTGTAAGTGGGTCTGAGAAGATAAACCGATTATGTACAACTTTGTTTCTTTCAAGTTCCTGCTGAGAGGAAAAGCTGTTATGTAAACAGGGAAGTGGCACAGCATTTCTCTTCTCCTATGGGCCCCAGCACATGTGAGAGACCACCCAGAGAATTCTTCCAGCCAGGGTACTGCTGCCGCCCATGACGGCTCCCTGACAGGGGAAGCTTGGGGACAGAGACAGCACGATGCACGTGAAGGAATGGGGGAAACAAACTTCTTACTAATGAGGCTTTAGACTTCACAGAGGGAGGACACTTGCTATTACACACCCAAGTCAGGTTTAAATTTCCAAAGGTGATACTTTTAGCTGTAACGTTTCTGAGGCTTGGACCAAGTGACTGCTTCATTTTGTGCAGGTGCAGACCTGGATGTAGCTCACAGATGATATTGCCTCTACAAGCGCTCTCATTCCCCATCCATCTTTGTCTTGCCCCACAAAGATGCACTGAGATCTCTCACAAGCCATCCATTATTACTTTGCCAGGAGGATCCTGACCTTAAGACAAACAATTAAAAATAGCAGTAAAAAAACCCCCAAAACCTTCTCTGCTCTTTATGCTGTGAGTGGTTTAGGCTGTTCACTTTGCTTTCATCCTCAGCTTGGTGTGAATTATACGTGCTTTTGTCAACGCAAACTTAAAGCCCAGCATGGCTTCAGATAGCTTCTCACCGCACTCCTTTATGTGGGTTATTTCTCACATAAACTATGGTGATTCTGCTTCCACAGAGAAGGGCAGTGACTTGCTGAAAGTATTGATTAATTGTAGTCTCATTCACTGGTTTGCTCATTTTACAAACATTAAAAAAAATGCATACCTTGTGCCAGGAGCTGTGTGCAAGGCACAGGCGAAACAGATAAATAAAGCACAGTCCATGCCCCCAGGGAGATGACAGGTTAAACAAATATTTGCAATTCAGTGTGGTGAGTCCATAGATGTGCCGCAAAGAGGGGCTGAAATGCTATCTGTAGGAGGGGGAGGAGAAAGAAGGAGGAGTGGTTCCGAGGAGATTTACGAGCTGAAGCCTGAGGAATAAATAGGCATATTCTAAGTGCAGAGACGGCAAAATGGGAGCAGCATGGGCAAAAGCCAGGACTTCATGTAGCATATAAAGTGTTATAACTTGTTTGATGAGAGCCTCCACAGGCTGAAGATGATCCACTGGGATCCAAAAAGAAAACAGCATAACTTCATACCTGTATTTTTATGTAAAAATTAACTTTGCTAATATTCAGCATATGGTTTATAGTTTGGGCGTATGTAATTTATCACAAAGTATAGTGCTCAGCCGGTTGCATGCTCAAAAATGCTTTACCAAAAGGGGACGCTCGCGATCAAATTAATTTGGCTACCACTGCTGGAGTGGTAGAACTAGGAACTCAGTTCTTGCCCACCAACTCCTTCTGCAAACGGCGCCAACAGGAGTCTAGATAATGATGTTTCTTTTGCTCCAGGGTACCTCAAAATACACATAGAATGCTTAGAGTGCTTGTTAAAGAAGGGCAGATTTCCAGGCCTGTCTCAGATCAATAGTCAGCCTCTTTCAGGAATAGAAATAACAACAACCTGTATGTCTAACAAGCTCCGCAGGTGATGCTTATTGCCTTAGTCTGTTCAAGCTGCCATAACAAAATGCCACAGGCTTGCTGGCTTAAAACAACAGAAATGTATTTTCTCACAGTTCTGGAGTCTGGAAAATCTAAGATCAGGGTTCCGTCAGGGTTTAGTTTCCGGTGCAGTCTCTCTTCCTGGCTTGTAGATGGCTACCTTCTCCCTGTGTCCTCCCATGGTGGAGAGAGAGGGCTGGTGTTTCCTCCTCTTCTTTTTTTTGTTATTGAAGTATAGTTGATGTACAATATTATATAAGTTACAGGTGTACAATATAGTGATTCACAGTTTTTAAGGGTTATACTCCATTTATAGTTTTGATAAAATATTGGCTATATTCCCCCTATTGTACAATATATCTTTGTAGCTTATTTGATACCTAATAGTTTGTACCTCCCACTCCCCCACTGGTAACCACTAGTTTGTTCTCTATATCTGCGAGTCTGCTTCTTTTTTATTATATTCACTAGTTTGTTGTATTTCTTAGAATCCACATATAAGTGATATCACACAGTATTTGTCTTTCTCCTTCTGACTTATTTTATTTAGAATTATACCCTCCAAGTCCATCCATGTTGCTGCAAGTGGCAAAATTTCACTCTTTTTTATGGCTGAGTGTGTGTGTGTGTGTGTGTGTGTGTGTGTGTGTGTGTGTGTAATCTTCATCCATTCATCTGTTGATGAATGCTTAGGTTGCTTCCATTTCTAGGCTCTTGTAAATAATGCTGCTATGAACATTAGGGTGTGTGTGTATCTTTTTGAATTAGTGTTTTTGGTTTTTTTGAATATATACCCAGGAGTATCAGTTTTATTGGATCAGGGCTCCACCCTTGTGACCTCATTTAACCTTAATCACCCCCTTAAAGGCCTTATCTCCAATACAGGGAGGGTTAGGCTTCAACGTATGAATCTTGGGGTAATGCAGTTCAGTCCATAGCATTTATGTTCACTGAAGTTTGAGGACCACTGCTGTAGTCTAACCAATAAATAGTTAAGCGAGTGATGGTTTCTGAAGTAGGTTCCTTTTTCCTAAGTCTGAACCCAGAGGAAGAGCCAGAGAAATGAGGGGTTTCCAGCTCCCACCTTGCCTTCCAGACTAGCGCTGTTCAACTGAAGTGTAATGGAGCCACTTTACAAATTGCATATGTAACTTAAAATTTTCTAGTAGCCACATTGAAAAAAAAGTAAAAAGAAAGAGGTGAAATTAATTTTAATAATTATTTAGTTTAATCCAATATATCCAAAACATTATCAGTTCAACATAAAATCAATACATATGATTAGAAATAAGATATTTTACAATTTTTTGTACTAAATTTTTGAAATCCTGTATTATTTTATACTTACATCACATCTCAAGTCAAGCTAGCCAGATTTCAAATGCTCAGTGTTCTCATGTGGCTAGTGACTGCTGTACTGGACGGTCAGTGCTAGAGTGTTACAACCTTCAGTTCAGCGCTTTAGGAAGCAGAGCAGACAAGGCATGCTGTGAACATGCTGTACAAGCAGCATCATTTCTAAAAGAGGCTTTATGATTATGATTAATCCTGAAAAGTTTTTAACATGTCTGTCCTCTAACCAGCAGCTTAAGATGTCAAGTTTGAGCAGAGAACAGAAGCCGACGGCTCATCCTAGCAGTTGAAGAAATTGTCACCATTCAGTGTTCTGTTTACCATGTACGTGAGAAGTCACAAGCTGCCAGAGCTGCGTGATGACTGAGACAGGCTGGCGGGATGATAGTTTGCCCTTAAATGAAAACTGAGCTGCATTTGATTTATCACCCTCAGCTGTCACTTCTCACCTCCACTGAACCTTTCCCAAGACCACAATAAATGTCACTTTAAAGGTTCGGGACTGGATTTCAACTGTGAAGAGTGTATTAGTCCTAAAATGGGCTCTTTCAAACAAAGTAGCATCTGCAGTCGGGGCTGGGGCTGGGGAGAGCATATGCAGAATGTTCCCTGAATTTTATATGATGAAGAAAGCATTAGGCTTAACCATGAGGTTAACTTTATCCATATCCCACAAGACCAAGTTGGGGATCCTGTAGGGCTATTGGCTTGTTATTGGTGCTGAGATGTGTCTTGGGATCCACTGGAGCCCAGATGCTTCTAGTTACTTTGAAGACAACAAATTCTTGTCTTATTGGAGGAACCTGAGGATGTTTGGCTGGAAAAGAGAAGTTTGGTGGGGAGGGCATGAAAGGTCACCCTCATATGTTTGAGGGCTTTCTGGAGGAGGAATTAGACTCATTCTGTATAGTCAAGAAGGGCAGAATTAGAACATATTTTTAGTTCAATACAGAAGTCTTTTTAATGAGATTGTGGAATCATTAGAAGACCCAGACATTAGATTGTGTTTCCCTAAGGACATTTATCAAATACCCACTTTGGGTCAAGCACTGTCACGCATAATATTTCAATTAAATTTTCACAGTGTTCCTGCAAGGTAGGTACTATTACCTCATTCCAAATGTGGCATCCCCCTGCTCTGGGGCCACGATGACAGCAGTCATGGTTCCAGCATTTGCCCCGCATCTGGAACCTGCTGAATGCTCAGCTTTCTGGAGCCGACCTTATGCCCCAGACAGGAAATCAAATGTAAATGTCATTTTCTTTCTGTGCTGGATTGGAAAGGACACGGCTTGTCTGTCCTGTACAGTGGAATTTGAGTTTAACAGATGGGAGAACCACATTAAAACACCCTGTACAAAGTTGCACAAAGATTTTTATTTAAACGAGTACTTCCCATTCTCACCAGTGATAATGTGTGCCATGGCCGCGTCTAAATTCTCTGCTCTATGTACATTTACAGTTTTTACTAGCCTGTACAACCCGTACATCCATCATCAGTCTCATTTGTTAGGATATATCTTGCAGTACCCATGAAAGAACATGTTACTGACCCTCCCGAGTTGGTCCCTAAGAAGGGTCCTTCTGCCCAGTGTTGCTCAAACCAATAGAACGAGACTGAGTTCTTCCATTTGGAAGCAAAAGAGTTTTATTCTTTGATCAAAGAACAGAGAGGTGTGAGCTCCGGCCGCAGAGCACACGCTCTCCCATAAAGACTGTGGGTGGGGCTGCTTTCTAGGGATCTCGGCAGCGGGGGAGGAGGCGGAGCTCTTGTGGGATCTGGTGCAGCTGCTGCGGCTCCGCCTCCAGATCGCAGCGCCGAGAGCAGCGGCTCTGCACACGGCCCGCCATCGCCGCCATCTTGAACTGAGCGCTGGTTGCAGTGTTTCTGCGCAGAGCCCTGGAGTTGAGGGGACGGCGCAGCCGTGCTGCACCAGGAACTCCGGTCTGAAGGGCCAGGTGCGAGGCCTCTGGATGCGGCACCCTAAGAACGAGGGAAACTACATGAAGCACAAAGGAAGAGGTTAGACCTTATCTTATCACCTAGATTCCGTCTTGCTTTTCCTTGGAGAACCCAGGGGTCTTTGTCGGTGACAGATATGCTCAGAATGTAATTCTAAAATGGATATTGGTTCTTCTTTTGTTGTAACCACGGAATGTGTGGTGACTTGAGCTACCTCCCATCTCGTGTGGCAGGAAGTGGAGCATGAATATCTGTACATGATGTAAACATATAATATATTAAATGGCTGATGCTATCGCGTACTTACTATGAGACAGGCAGTGTGCTAAGGGCTGAGGGGTCTTAACTCATTGCTCCTGCCATCTCTCCCACAACGTAGATACTGTTATGAAAATACCCCCACTTTATAGAAGAGGGAACTGAGGCACAGGGAGGTCACATAACTTGCCCAGGTCGTGCAAGTAGTAAGTGGCAGAGATAGGATTGGACTCGGGCCATCTAACGACCAGAAAGAAGCATAAGGGATGTGTTGTCTCCCGGTGTAGCAGAGCTTAAATGTTCTCCTACTTTCCCAGCAAACAAGTACACTGGTAAGGCCCTGGTGGAGCCCAGCCTTGCACTGTCCCATATGGTAACCACGTGTGGCTATGAGCACTTGAAATGAGGCTTGTCCAATTTGACATCTGCCCTAAGGGTAAAATAAGTACTGGATTTTTGAGGACTTACATGATAAAAAGTATCTCTGATCGTTTGCTCACACATATGTTCACTCATTCATTCAATATGTCCTGACACCTGGGAGGCACTGACAGTGGGATGTAGCAGAGTCAGCCAGACAGGTGTGGCTCCTGTTCTCATGTAGCTCAGTATTCTGGAAGGACTGGTGGTTTGGGGTGGGAACTGGACCCTAAGAAATAATTATGTAAGTACTTAATTACCATCATTATTGTTAAAGAGGGGAAGGCGTTTGCTGTGGAAGGGCACCTTACCCTTGGGGGCCATTCAATAAATTCATTCAGTAGATATTAGTTGAGTGAAAGAATGAATCTAGGGGATTCGAGGAAGCATCCCTGAGGAAATAACTTTGAGATAGAGTTCCGAAGGAGGAGGAAAGAGGTGAAATATTGGGAGCGTCTACTGTGATCACAGGCCCGCTGGGCGGGTGGCTCTGGCCGGCTCTTGCTTTATATCAGGGACAGTTGTCTCTGGCCAGGTGGCAGTGGCACAGCTGAGCCCAGCGTTTTGTGGGGTGGGCAGAGGCGTGGGGAGCTGTGTTCCCTGGCACGGGGAGGCATGGTTGCAGGCACAGGGACATTTGAAGGAGCCGGCAGGAGGGCGGCCCCTGGCCCCCTCCTCCAGCATCACCCAGTGCCCAGCACCCCCTGGCACACGGACTCAGTTTCTTCTTCATGGCGGCTTCGTGTCCTTCCTCTCCCTTCTTCTTTGCCCCCAGCAGTTTGGGTCTGCAGCATTTATTTCCTTTTATTGCACAATCCATTCCACAGGTTTTTATTTTGTTGTTGTTTCCACCCAGTGTAAATGAGACCTCCAGTAGGGAGAATAACTTAAATCTCTTGTGACCCAGCAGGACAAAATGTTCCCAGTTTCTTCCCCCAGAGCAGTTTTCATTTCTGTGGCAAGTTACCACGGAGTGCTTATTCTTGTCGATAACAGTGTGGCAGTGAGGACGTGAGGAGGGGGCGTGGAGAAGGAGGAGAGCCCTGGACGTGGTGGCTGGGTGCTGGCTGGCCTGAGTCTGCTGCCCGTAGCTCGCCCAGTGTGACAGGGAGCTGGAGCAGGCTGGGCTGGGGGCAGAGGGCAGCTTTGGGCAGCTGGGAGGAATGCTAGGCATCTGACCTTGGGCTTCAGGCTGTGCTAAGCCTCACCCCAGTGTAGCCCCCGGGAGAGCTGATTCTTGGATGGGTCTCCTTCCGTTCTTTGCACACCTGATCCCAGGTTGCCAAGTTACCCAATGAGCCAGAAAACAATAAAACCACCATAAACCCAGCTGGGGGTGATTGTGCTGTGTTCTGAGTCTGCATATCTTGCCTGGATCTTATATTGGGCTTGAACATTAAGAGGGCTGTTCCAGGGTGGGTAACAGTGTTGGCAGGGAAATTTGGCAACGTGCCCTGAACATACTGGGCACCCAACAAATACTTGTTAAATCAACGAATAAGAATTTGCTGTAAGGAATACCATTTTTAGTTAATTTGCAACACTTGTGCTACCTGGGCGGAAAGTCAAGCCAGCAATGCATTATAATGTGGTTTGGTAAACATTGTGTAGCTTTGTTCTAGGATTTTCCTAAAAACCCAACTGAGTCTCAGTGGGCTCATTGTCTCTGAAGTCTCTTCCTGCTGTAAGACTCTGTGATTCTTTGAAACATGCTTGGTCAGGGACGGGCTTCCGACCTGGAGGAGGGTTGTATTCAAGACTTCGCGTCTACCTAGTGGTGACTACTGCTTCTTTACAGCAGAGTGTTTCAACTTCAGTACTGCTGTCATTTGGAGCTGGATAATTCTTTGTGGCAGGGGGCCATTCTGTGCATTGTAGGATGTTTAGTAGCATCCCTGGCCTCTACTCACCAGATGCCAGTAACACCTCCCTATCCCTCCCAAGTAGTGAGAAGCAAACTTGTTTGCAGACATTGCCCAATGTCCGCTGGAGGGCCAAACTGCCCGTGCCTGAGAACCAGTGCTCTGTAGGAATAAAGTGAGATGGGGTGCAGACTGTTTGAAAAAGCCCATTATGCACAAGCAGTTTTTACTGGAATATATCACACAGCCTGCAGGTTTGTGGATTTATCTTTCCAAGGCATTTAATTTGGCACACATTAAAACTGTGTGGATCCCTTGCAGCACTGTGTGGCTCTGGGGGTGGATAACTGAACACAGACAATGGCTACCCACTGTGTTGTCCTTCTGTCCACACCTGCCTCCTCTATTCCTTGTGTAGAGCAGTGGTTCTAGGCCCTACATATTCACTATAATCACCGGGGGAGCTTTTCCAAAATTAATATGCCTGGCTCCGCTGCTAGGGGTTTGACAGAATTGGTGGACCCTGGGGCCTGGGCATCTGTATTTTTCTAAAGCTTTTCAGGTGATTTAACTCTGCAGCCAGGGCTGGGAGCCCCAGGTATGGTAAAGACCAGTCTCAGCCCGCCAGACTTTTCTGGGTTGACTGTTGATGGAACTGGGGATAATTTTGGGTTGGCCAAAAAGTTCCTTCGGTTTTTAAGTAAAAATAAAAGACACATTTTTAATTTTCACTAAGAACTTTATTGAACAATGTATTCACTGTTTTGTTCCACTGCCTTCTGCCATTTTTCAGGCAACTTCATAATGCCATCTTCCCAAAACTTTTTATCTTTTTGAGCAAAGAACTGTTCCAGGTGCCTTTTATAGTCTTCCAGGGGATTGAAATTTTTTCCATTAAGAGAATTTTGTAAAGACCAAAATAAATGGAAATCCAAAGGTGCAATGTCTGGTGAATATGGTGGATAAATCAGAACTTCCCAGCCAAACTGTAACAGTTTTTGCCTGGTCATCAAAGAGACATGTGGTCTTGCGTTATCCTGATGGAAGATTATGTGTTTTCTGTTGACTAATTCTGGATGCTTTTCATTGAGTGCTGCTTTCAGTTGTTCTAATTGGGAGCAGTACTTGCTGGAATTAATTGTTTGGTTTTCCGGAAGGAGCTTATAATAGAGGACTCCCTTCCAGTCCCACTATATATAACATCACCTTCTTTGCATGAAGACCGGCCTGTGGTGTGGTTGGTGGTGGTTCATTTCACTTGCCCCACGATCTCTTCCGTTCCACATTTTTGTACAGTATCCACTTTTCATCGCCCATCACAATTTGTTTTAAAAATGGAACATCTTCATTACATTTAAGTAGAGAATCACATGTGGAAATACGGTCAAGAAGGTTTTTTTCGCTTAAGTTATGTGGAACCCAAACATCAAAGCGATTAACATAACCAAGCTCTTACAAATGATTTTCAACGCTTGATTTGGATATTTTGAGTATGTCGGCTATCTCCCGCGTGGTATAACGTTGATTGTTCTTAATGTCTTGATTTGATCGCTGTCAACTTCAACTGGTCTACCCAACCGTGGAGCCTCATCCAGCGAGAGAAATCCCCAGCGTGAAACTTCGCTAACCACTTCTGACACGTTTGATCAGTCACAGCACATTCTCCATACAATGCACAAATCATTTTTTGTGTTTCAGTTGCGTTTTTACATTTCTTGAAATGATGAAGCATAATATGCCAAAAATATTGCTCTTTTTCTTCCATCTTCAATATTAAAATGGCTACACAAAAAGTCACCAATTTCACACTCCCTCTTGCGAGAACACTGGAATCACAACTAACTGCTGAACAATCATCAACAGGAAGACACTGGAACTCACCAAAAAAGATACCCCACATCCCAAAACAAAGGAGAAGCCACAGTGAGACGGTAAGAGGGGCACAATCACAATAAAATCAAATCCCATAACTGCTGGGTGGGCGACTCACAAACTGGAGAACAGTTATACCACAGAAGTCCACCCACTGGAGTGAAGGTTCTGAGCCCCACGTCGGGCTTCTCAACCTGGGGGCCCAGCAACAGGAGGAAGAATTCTGAGAATCAGACTTTGAAAGCTAGCGGGATTTGATTGCAGGACTTCAACAGGTCTGGGGAAAACAGAGACTCCACTCTTGGAGGGCACACACAAAATAGTGTGTGCATTGGGACCCAGGGGAAGGAGCAGTGACCCCATAGGAGACTGAACCAGACCTACCTGCTAGTGTTGGAGTGTCTCCTGCAGAGGTGGGGGGCAGCTGTGGCTCACCATGGGGACAAGGACGCTGGCAGCAGAAGTTCTGGGAAGTGCTCCTTGGCGTGAGCCCTCCCAGAGTCTGCCATCAGCCCAACCATAGAGCCTTGTAGCATCCAGTGCTGGGTCACCTCAGGCCAAACAACCAACAACCAGGGAGGGAACTCAGCCCCACCCATCAGCAGACAAGCAGATTAAAGTTTTATTGAGCTCTGCTCACCAGAGCAACACCCAGCTCTACCCACCACCAGTCCCTCCCATCAGGAAGCTTGCACAAGCCTCTTAGATAGCCTCATCCACCAGAGGACAGATAGCAGAAGCAAAAAGAACTACAATCCTGCAGCCTGTAGAATGAAAACCACATTTACAGAAAGATAGACCAAATGAAAAGGGAGAGGACTGTGTACCAGAGAAAGGAACAAGATAAAACCCCAGAAAAACAACTAAATGATGTGGAGATAGGCGACCTTCCAGACAAAGAATTCAGAATAATGATAGTGAAGATGTTTCAGGGCCTTGGGAAAAGAATGGAGGCAAAGATCGATGTTTGTTGCATGTTGTTAAATGCAACAAACATTTAACAAAGACCTAGAAGAATTAAAGAACAAATAAACAGAGATGAACAATACAATAACTGAAATGAAAAATACACTAGAAGAAATCAATAGCAGAATAACTGAGGGAGAAGAACAGATAAGTGACCTGAAAGACAGAATGGTGGAAATCACTGCCATGGAACAGAAGAAAGTAAAAAGAATGAAAAGAAATGAAGATAGCCTAAGAGACCTCTGGGACAATATTAAATGCACAACATTTGCATTATTGGGGTCCCAGAAGGAGAAGAGAGAGAGAAAGGACCTGAGAAAATATTTGCAGAGATTATAGTGGAAAACTTCCCTAACGTGGGAAAGGAACTAGCCACCCAAGTCCAGGAAGCACAGAGAGTCCCAGGCAGGATAAACCCGAGGAGACACACGCTGAGACGTGTGGTAATAACACTGACAAAAATGAAAGACAAAGAAAAATTATTGAAAGCAACAAGGGAAAAATGACAAATAACATACAAGGGAACTCCCATAAGGTTAACAGCTGATTTCTCAGCAGAAACTCTACAAACCAGAAGGGACTGGCATGACATATTTAAAGTGGTGAAAGGGAAGAACCTAGAACCAAGATTACTTTACCTGGCAAGGATCTCATTCAGATTTGACAGAGAAATCAAAAGCTTTACAGATAAGCAAAGCTAAGAGAATTCAGCACCACCAAACCAGCTCTGCAGCAAATGCTAAAGGAACTTCTCTAAGTGGGAAACATAAGAGAAGAAAAGGACCTACAAAAACAAACCCAAAACAATTCAGAAAATGGTAATAGGAACATACTTATCAATAATTACCTTAAATGTGAATGGATTAAATGCTCCAACCAAAAGACACAGATTGGCTGAATGGATACAAAAACAAGACCCATATATATGCTGTCTATAGGAGATCCACTTCAGACCTAGGAACACATACAGACTGAGAGTGAGGGGATGGAAAAAGATATTCCATGCAAATGGAAATCAAAAGAAAGCTGGAGAAGCAATACTCATATCAGATAAAATAGACTTAAAATAAAGTGTTACAAGAGACAAGGAAGGACACTACATAATGATCAAGGGAGCAATCCAAGAAGAAGATAAAACAATTATAAATATTTATGCACCCAACATAGGAGCATCCCAATACATAAGGCAAATGCTAACAACCATGAAAGGGGAAACGACAGTAACACAATAATAGTGGGGGACTTTAACACCCCTCTTACACCAGTGGACAGATCATCCAAACAGAAAATAAGTAAGGAAACACAAGCTTTAAATGACACAATAGACGAGATAGATCTAAAAGATATTTATAGAACATTCCACCCAAAAGTGGCAGAATGCACTTTCTTCTCAAGTGCACATGGAACATTCTCCAGGGTAGATCACATCTTGGGTCAAAAATCAAGCCTCAGAAAATTGAAGAAAGTTGAAATCGTATCAAGCATCTTTTCTGACCAAAACGCTATGAGATTGGAAATCAATTACAGGAAAAAAACTGTAAAAAACACAAATACATGGAGGCTAAAAGGTCCCCTACTAAATAACCAAGAGATCACTGTAGAAATCAAAGAAGAAATAAAAAAATACATAGAAACAAATGACAACAAAAACATGACGACGCACAACCTTCGGGATGCAGCAAAAGCAGTTCTAAGAGGAAAGTTTATAGCTATTCAATCTCACCTCAAGAAACAAGAAAAATCTCAAGTAAACGATCTAACCCTACACTTAAAACAACTAGAGAAAGAAAACAAAGAAAACCCAAAGTCAGTAGAAGGAATGAAATCATAAAGATCAGAGCAAAAACAAATGAGATAGAAATGAAGAAAACAGTAGCAAAGATCAATAAAACTAAAAACTGGTTCTTTGAGAAGATAAACAAAATTGATAAACCCTTAGCCAGGCTCACCAAGAAAAAAAGGGAGAGGACACAAATCAATAAAATTAGAAATGGAAAAGGAGAAATCACAACTGACAGTGCAGAAATACAAAGGATTATAAGAGACTACTACAAATTACTATATGCCAATAAAATGGACAACCACGAAGAAATGGACAACTTCTTGGAAAGGTACAATTTTCAAAGACTGAACCAGGAAGAATTAGAAAATATAAAGAGACCTATCACAAATAATGAAATTGAAACTGTAATTAAAAATCTTCCAACAGACAAAAGTCCAGGACCAGATGGCTTCACAGGCAAATTCTATCAAACATTTAGAGAAGAGGTAACACCAGTCCTTCTCAAACTCTTCCAAAAAATTGCAGAGGGAGAAACACTCCAAAATTCATTCTACGAAGCCACCATCACCCTGATACAAAAACCAGAAAAAGCTATTCCAAAAAAAGAAAATTATAGACCAATATCACTGATGAACATAGATGCAAAAATTCTGAACAGAATACTAGCAGCAGAATCTAACAGCACATTAAAAGGATCATACACCATGATCAAGTGGGATTTATTCCAGGGATACAAGGATTCTTCAATATATGCAAATCAATCATTGTGATACACCACATTAACAAATTGAAGGATAAAAACCATATGATCATCACAATAGATGCAGATAAAGCTTTTGACAAAATTGAACACCCATTTAGATAAAAAAGCTCTCCAGAAAATGGGCATAGAGGGAACCTACCTCAATATAATAAAGGCCATATATGACAAACCCACAGCTAGCATCATACTCAATGGTGAAAAACTGAAAGCATTTCCAGTAGGATCAGGAACCAAGACAAGGATGTCCACTCTCGCCACCTTTATTCAACATAGTTTTGGAAGTCCTAGCCACAGCAATCAGAGAAGAAAAAGATATAAAAGGAATCCAAATTGGAAAAGAAGAAGTAACACTGTCACTGTTTGCAGATTACATGATACTATACATAGAGAATCCTAAAGATGCCACCAGAAAACTACTAGAACTAATCAATGAATTTGGTAAAGTTGCAGGATACAAAATTAATGCACAGAAATTCTTGTATTCCTATACAGTAACAATGAAAAATCAGAAAGAGAAATTAAGGAAACAATCACATTTACCCTTGCAACAAAAAGAATAAAATACCTAGGAATAAACCTACCTAAGGAAGTAAAAGACCTGTACTCAGAAAACTATAAGACACTGATGAAAGAAATGAAAGATGACACAAACAGATGCAGAGATATACCATGTTCTTGGATTGGAAGGATTAATATTGTGAAAATGACTATACTATCCAAAGCAATCTACAGATTCAATGCAATCCTTATCAAATTACCAATGGCATTTTTTTTTTTTTTTTTGCAGAACTAGAACAAAAAGTCTTAAAATTTATACAGAGACACAAAAGACCCTGAATAGCCCAAGGAATCTTGAGGGGGAAAAATGGAGCTGGAGGAATCAGACTCCCTGACTTCAGACTATACTACAAAGCTACAGTAATCAAGACAATATGGTACTGGCACCGAAACAGAAATATAGATCAATGCAACAGGATAGAAAGCCCAGACATAAACCCATGCACCTATGTTCAACTAATCTATGACAAAGGGGCAAGGATATACAATGGAGAAAAGACAGTCTCTTCAATAAGTGGTGCTGGGAAAACTGGGCAGCTACATGTAAAAGAATGAAATTAGAACACTCCCTAACACCATACACAAAAATAAACTCAAAATGGATTAAAGGCTTAAATGTAAGGCCAGACATTATAAAACCTTTAGAGGAAAACATAGGAAGAACACTCTTTCACATAAATCACAGCAAGATCTTTTTTGACCCATCTCCTAGAGTAATGGAAATAAAAACAAAAAGAAACAGATGGGATCTAATGAAAACTTAAAAGCTTTTGCACAGCAAAGGAAACCATAAGCAAGATGAAAAGACAACCGTTAGAATGGGAGAAAATATTCGCAAACGAATCAACGGACAAAGGATTAATCTCCAAAATATATAAACAGCTGGTGCAGCTCAATATTAACCAAACAACCCAATCAAAAAATGGGCAGAAGATGTAAATAGACATTTCTCCAAAGAAGACATACAGATGGTCAAGAGGCATATGAAAAGCTGCTCAACATCACTAATCATTATAGAAATGCAAATCAAAACTACAATGAGGTATCACCTCACACCAGTTAGAATGGGCATCATCAGAAAATCTACAAACAACAAATGCTGGAGAGGGTGTGGAGAAAAAAGGAACTCTCTTGCACTGTTGGTGGGAATGTAAATTGATACAGCCACTATGGAGAACAGTATAGACGTTCCTTAAAAAACTAAAAATAGAATTACCATATGACCCAGCAGCCCCACTACTGGGCATATACCCAGAGAAAACCATAATTCTAAAAGACCCCAGGCACCCCAGTGTTCATTGCAGCACTATTTACAATAGCCACGTCATGGAAGCAACCTAAATGCCCACTGACAGACGAATGGATAAAGAAGATGTGGTACATATACACAATGGAATATCACTCAGCCATAAAAAGGAACGAAATTGAGTTATTTGTAGTGAGGTGGGTGGACCTAGAGCCTGTCATACAGAGTGAAGTAAGTCAGGAAGAGAAAAACAAATAT